AAAAGGTGGCTGAGGAGATTTTTTTCCACTACTGAGGCAGCTGTTTGCAAGCATTTGGGGAAACAGGAATTGGGGAGGGTAACAGGGACAAGTGACTTTATAGGCACCCGCATCGCTAGGGACCTTTGTGCCAAGTGACATGAGCACATGACCATTTACAGAGAAAGGAGAGACAGCCCCCCCATCCCATCCGTCATTCTGAGAAATTTACAAGCAAAGAGCAACACGAAAGATGTCCATTTGCCTATGAGAAGCATGAACATTAAGATTTCCTCTTCCCCACGTGTGTGAAAGCTTCACCTATCACTGGCTCTTGGGCAAAAAAACCCATTGATGTGTGACAATAATAGGATCAGGATCCTGATTATGAACTGGTGTGTGTGCATTTGGCATTAACTGGTGGATTATTTTTGTGGTTAAGCTTTGCAGGGTAGATGGATCTCAAGCGTTCTGAAATTTACCCTGGATAAACACCCAAACACCCAAGTGATAGTGACGGGGGTTGGAACGGATCTACAGGTTTGTTATTGCTGGAGAGTCCTTTCTCCCTGCTTAACCAAACCTGACAGGTGCCACTTGGCATCAAGGGAGAGGAAGTTATTTGGTAGCAAAAGGACACTTAGCAAGTTAGATCACTGTTAGCAAGGTGCAGCATGGAATGCACTTACCAGAGGTGCTCAGCTGGCTGGGTTTGATGGGCACATGTAGCTCTGATTGGCTGGACTGCATGTCTGAGCCTTCATACGGCCCATGTCCTTCCGTTTGGCCTGCAGGAGAAGATGCAATCTCAGCCAACACTTCTAGGTCCTTCAAGATAACCTGGAAAGAGGAAGAGATCACATAAGGCGAGCAATGACAATGCAGCACAGAGTTCAGAGGCAACCGCAGATTTATTTTCATTTAAAAAGACTGACAGGCAGCGTGTTCAGAAAGGCCAACACTAATTCTTTCAACATGAATGAAGTGGAAGTGGGGAAGACCAGAATTGTTACAATAAAGTGGCTGATCAGATCAGAGTGAAGTTCTAGGCCCAACTGTGAGGGAGACAGCTGAGGAACAGAAGAGGCAAAATCTCTGCTAAGCTGTAGGAGAGCAGATGAACATTTAACTTAACCCAAACTGTGTATGACAACTAGCACTAGCTCAGTCAGAAGTTGCTGCCACTCCATGCAAGGGACATCTGGGAAAAGCCAATGATTTTTCTCCTTAGCTTCACTTAATTGTATTGAACAATTTAGATAAATTGGGTAACTGAACTAGACACTTCCCCCACCTGCAATGGATATTGTGATCTAACCTGAAGACAGCAGGGAAACGAGGGAAACTGGGCTGGGAATTTCCATCCATCCCATAGCCTGTTCATGCAGTTCAGCTACTCTTGAAATTTTACAGACTGTTTTCATATAAAGAGATTGCAGCCATTCGATCTGCAAAAAAATCTGCCCAGCATGGGCTAAAGCAAAGCTGAGCAAGTGAAACAGCTTCAAGAGCTAGGAACTACAGCACTGTGGGTCAACTAATCAACTCCAAAACCTAGTTACTACCTTTTAAAAAGGCTACACTACTTCACTGCTGACAGCCTTCTCACATATGGACTACTCCACACATTTTAAATGGACTTCAGGCTGGAACAAGGCTGCAACTTAACATTGAAACAGGCCTGAATATTCAAATGACTGCCACAGCATTTTTTCCTATGCAGCTAACCTTCCTTTTCTTTGCTTAGCCACTTTATACCACCACTGAGTTAATTTGGGAAATAACCTGCGATGTTATAGAGCCACTCTAGAAAACCACACTGTCCCAACCAATTGCAGTGGATCCTCCCTCACCCAAGTGCTCTCACCTCTTGATATTGCATCATTCAACATACCAGAGACATGCAGGGCATGGAAGTGGCCAGCTAGACTAGCCATTGACCAGGACTAGATCTGCTGTAAAGCCAAGCACACTGGTTTTGTGGAGAGAAGATCACATGCCTTTCCCCCCAAGTGTGGTACTGCAAACACTTGCCACTTCTTTTTGCCAATATTACAAATTATTTGGCAGTTCGCTTAAAGCTTCAGCTGCTGAACTCATATGATTAGGCAGGATTTCAATTTTAAGTTAAAAAGCAACTGCCTAGCCTTCATAGCTGTGAGCATAACCCTTAAACTGTTAGAAGAGATCCAAAATTGATTTTTAAACAATGATTTAAGCTGCCAGAATGTCTGAATACTTGGGGTTGGTAATCCAATACCCCAAAGAGCTCAAACAAAGCCTCATGCCATCCACCAAGCTCCTATAATCACCACCCAAGCTCTTGATCCCCATTTCACAGTTACAGAAGACTAGGGGATAGGAATCAAGTGACTTGCACAGAGTCAGGAAGAGAATCCAGTTCTGACTCCCCCTCCCCCTCCCCACCCCATTCACACTCTGTGCTCCTTCCTCTTCTTGACCACCCCCAGCCCCCAATGGCTGCCCCACCTGGCCCCAGCATCCTGGTACTTTAAAAAAAGCCCTGCACTCACTAGCTTCTGCCAGGCCGGGGGGGGTGGGGGGGGGCGGCAATCCCTGCTGCCCCCCACTGCCCCGCTCTGCATGTGGGGGCTCTGCCACGAGCCCCCATTGTCATATCCTGCTGCACTGAAGTGAACTGTAGTCTACAAAAAGCCAGGCTGAAGCCCTTCCCATTTAACACTCAAATCCGTTCCGAATCACACCAACTGAACACAACTCAATCGTTCTAAAAACCGTACTGACTGAACAGACAGAACTCAATTGTTCTGAACACTACATATGGTGCTGAGCATCCTTCATCCCAAACTCTCACCCTGGGACTTCAGATACTCCCAAATCCATTGGCAGGCATCCTACATGCAGGCCCTAGCTTGGAGGTCTTGAGATTTGGATGCCCGCAAGACTTGATCCGAGCCAAAAGGCCAAGACTTCCACCTGGGAACAAGACACACACACACACACACACACACACACACACACTGTAA